TCAAGCTGAATGGGAGGAAGCAGAAGCCCAGAACTGGGGTCATTTTCCAGGACCTCATCCCACCCCAGGCCTCCAGAGGCTCTGCTGTCAGAGCCGTTTTCAAGATTTAAAAAACTAGGGCACATGCTTGGATTGTTCCATGTTACCAGCTAATGAGGAGCAGAGCCTGGAGTCACACTAGGCTTTTCTGACCTCCAAGTTCTCCTTCCCATTACACTGGGGGAAGTCCCTCACTTAACACAACGTCACGGCTTGTGCCATGTGTCTCCTGGTGGGGACCCAGGAACCTCCCCTGAAGCATCCTAGCACCTGGCCCAGGGCCTGGCCCTAATTGGAAGCACAATGAATGTTTGTTGACTGAATAAATGAATGACACGTTCCAAGCAGAGCCAGTTGCAAGTTCTCCTTGGAAAGGAGGTGGATGAAAAGTGAACCCACAGAGGCTGTTGAGGTCTCTTCCTGCACCCTCAGCCCTGCTCCTCTACCCACAGTCTGGCCTCCAACTCTGTTCCTCAGCCCCCAGCTTCCCAGAGGGGCTTTGGATCTCACAGTCTGCCCCTGGCATCCTTCTCAAAGGTCAAGGACACCAGGGATGAGAGGCCCCCAGACCTGTAGATGCTCAGGACAAAGGGTTGAGCAGAATAAGGTCCCTGTTCTCAGGAAGCTCCTGAACTATTGGGCAAGAGAGGCCCAAAACATGTAGTGACACAAATGACAAGAATTCCCTACAAGGGATGGAGCATGGAGGAGCTGTGGGGGCAGGGAGGAGGAGCCCTCCATGGACTGTGCATGGGTGGGGAGGTCAGGAAAGCTTCATTTCTAAGCTGGGGACTAAGAGCCGAGCTGGAGTTGGCCAGATAAGTAGGTAAGAAAGGGGTAGAGGAAGAATATGTTGGAAGATCCAGAGGAAGGAGATCTTGTAGAACACCCAGAGACAGGAAAGAAGGTCTGGCAAGGGCTGGAGAGGTGGGGTCTCTAACACACAGCCATGGAGATCATGTCCAGATCTCAGACGGCGGGGAGCTGCCTTTGTCTGCTCCGGATGCCACAAAAAAATACCACAGACTTGGTAACTAAATAATAGACATTGATGTCTCACTCTTCTGGAGGCCAGAAGTCCAAGATCAAGGTGCCAGCAGATTCAGCTTCCGGTGAGGGCTCTCTTCCTGGTTTGTAGACAGCTGCCTTCTCACTGTGTCCTCACATGGCCTTTTCTTTGTGTGTGTGCTCACAGGGTGGAAGAGGAGAGTGAGCTCTGCAGTGTCTCCTCTTATAAGGACACGAATCCCAGGGGATCAGGGTCCCACTCTTATGACTTCATTTAACCTTAATTACTTCCTAAAGACCCTTTTCCCAAACACAGTTGCAATGGGACTTAAAGCTGCAACATGTCATTCTGGGAGGACAAAATTCAATCCACAGCAGGGGCCATGGAAGGTGCTAGGGTCAGATGGGCCTTTGGGGTGCTCTCTCTGGCCTCAGAGGGGAGGATGGGCCGGAGCAGGCAGGACTGGAAGCTGTTTGAATGGCTGCTGTAGTCCAGAGGTGAGACGTGCCACTGGACCAGAGGCAAGGCATTTGGGAGGGAGTAGGGGGAGCTGCTCAATAAGCTTGGATCTGCAGGACTCAATGTGAAAGGAGGGCTGAGGGAGGGGGAGAGGTCAAGGATGACTGCCAGATTCCTAGCTTGAGTAACAGGGGGATGCAGGGACAGTTCCATGGGCATGTGACCTGCATGATCTCAACACACCAAAGGGCCCAGCGTTTGTTTAATGTTCTGCTGTTGCTGTCTTGAATTATTAACAATTTTTTAATTGTTTAACAAGAGGCCCTGCATTTTGATTTTGCACTGGGCCCCACAAATTCTTGAGCCAGTCTGTGTGGATGGGGGTCTGTGAACCTCTGTCCTTCTCCACAGATCACTGGACTGGAGCAGGGAGGGAGCTGGCCTCTCTGTGACCTCTCTCTCTTGAGATGGTTACTTGATACCAGGCTTATTTCTGCCAAAACCAAAACAAGGACAACAACGAAAAAAAACCCTCCTAATTAACACCCTCAGCACCACTAGCAGTTAAGGGCAAGGGCTTTAGAGTCTCTGAGAAGAGAGCAAATCAGGTGCTGAATTTATTGCCTTCGGGAATTTTTAAGACTCCGTTGCCTTATCTAAGGGGGCACCGTGTACTTTATTGATGAGCTCAGTACACTTCTGAGAATAGAAGGGGAAAGTGGGAATAAAATACTCACTATGCTGGGACAATAGGTGCCAATCGGGTCTGTCCCATCCAAATTGGGACACATAATCCCCTACTTCTCTGTAAAATGGGATTCAGTAGAACCATGCACAGAAAGCAGGGGGCCCAAAGTAAGTGCTCAGTAAGCAGCACCTATCATTATTTCTTTTATTTTAATTTGTATTTTTTTGAGATGGAGTCTCACTCTGTTGCCCAGGCTGGAGTGCAGTGGCACGATCTCGGCTCACTGCAACCTCTGCCTCCTGGGTTCGAGCAATTCTCCTGCCTCAGCCTCCTGAGTAGCTGGGACTACAGGCACGTGCCACCACACTCGACTAATTTTTTGTGGTTTTTTGTAGAGACGGGGTTTCACCATGTTGCCCAGGCTGATCTCCAACTCCTGACCTCAGGTGATCCACCAGCCTTGGCCTCCCAAAGTGCTGGGATTACAGGCATGAGCCACCACGCCAGGACTTCTTTTTATTTATTTATTTATTTATTTATTTTTTGAGATAGAGTCTTGCTCTGTCACCTACGCTGGAGTGCAGTGGCGTGATCTCTGCTCACTGCAACTTCAGCTTCCCAGGTTCAAGAGATTCTCTTGCATCAACCTCCTAAGTAGCTGGGCACAGGCACATGCCACCACATCGGGCTAATTTCTGTGTTTTTAATAGAGATGAGGTTTCATCATGTTGGCCAGGCTGGTCTTGAACTCCTGACCTCAAGTGATCCACCTGCCTCGGCCTCCCAAAGTGCTGGGATTACAGGCATTAGCCACCACGCCTGGCCACCTTATCATTATTTATTTATTTATTGGACGGAGTTTTGCTCATTGTCCAGGCTGGAGTGCAATGGCATGATCTCGGCTCACTGCAACATCTGCCTCCCAGATTCAAGTGATTCTCCTGCCTCAGCCTCCCGAGTAGCTGGGATTACAGGCATGCGCCACCACACCTGGCTAATTTTTGTATTTTCAGTAGAGATAGGGCTTCACTGGCCAGGCTGGTCTTGAGCTCCTGACCTCAAGTGATCCACCTGCCTTGGCCTCCTGAAGTGCTGGGATTACAGGCATGAGCCACCATGCCCGGCCATCCTATCATTATTTCTACACTCTGCAGTCACTCTCAACTGGTGTCTAAATGTCATTCACTTGTCAATCAGTTACTCACTACCCACCATGTATCAGGCACACAGCACTGGTGCTCCTGATGTGAAGATGTACTGATAATTCATCTATTCAGCCCACATTTTGTGAGCAGCTCATATCTGCCAGGCTGGGTTCTGAGGCTAGGCTCGTTCTGGGGATCCAAAGATGAGTGACACCACGTGTCCTCCTGGGGCTTGAAATCTTGTAGGGTATGGTGAGCGGAAGCGTGTCTCCCAAAAATGCATGTCCACCTAGAACTTCAGAATATGACCTTACTTGAAAACAGGGTCTTTGCAGATGTAATTAAGATAAGGATCAAAATAAAATCATGCTGGATTAGGGTGGGCCCGAAATCCAATGAGAGTATCTTGATAAGAGACAAAAGAGTACACAGATTCACAGAGGAAAAGGCCTTGTGAAGACAGAAGCAGAGACTGGAGGGCAGGGGCACTCCACAAAATGCCAAGGATTTTGCCAGCAGCCACCAAAAGTTAGAAATGCATGGAATGGATCCTCCTTTAGGCCCTCCATCACCCAGGCTGGAGTACAATGGTGTGATCTCAGCACATTGCAACCTCCACCTCCCGGACTCAAGCAATCCTCCTGCCTCAGCCCCTCAAGTAGTTGGGACTACAGGCTGGCTATTTTTTGTATTTTTTTTTTGTAGAGATGGTGTTTCACCATATTGCCCAGGCTGGTCTCAAACTCCTGGGCTCAAGCAATCCTCCCACCTCAGCCTCCCAAAGTGCCGGGATTATAGGTACAAGCCACTGTGCCCAGCCCACCTTGATTTCAGACTTCTGGCAGAACCATGACAGAATAAGTTTCTGTTGCTTTCAGCTACCAAGGCTGTAGCAATTTGTTACAGCAGCCCTAAGAAAATAATCCATTGAGGACACAGATGACACCCACATTGATAACTAAATGAATGATTATCCGATAGCTACCTCCAGGGAGAGGTAGTGATGAGGAGGCGTCACAAGGAGGCTTCTGGGGAGCTGGTTATGTTCACTTCTTGACCTAGGGGCAGGTTATGCAGATGGGTTCATTTTGTGAAGGTGTATTGAGCTGTACACAGGATTTGTGTGTTTTTGTGTTTGTTATACTTCAGGAAAAACTTAAAAAGATAAATTGCACAGGCCGGGTCCTAGCACTTTGGGAGGCTGAGGCAGGAGGATCACCTGAAGTCAGGAGTTCAAGATCAGCCTGGCCAACGTGGTGAAACCCCGTCTCTACTAAAAATACAAAAATTAGCCAGGCATGGTGGTGCACACCTACCCCAGCTACTCAGAGCCTGAGACAGGAGAACTGCTTGAACCCAGGAGGTGAAAGTTGCGGTGAGCCGAGATCGTGCCACTGCACTCCAGCCTGGGCGACTGAGTGAGACTCCATCCCCCAAAAATAATAAAACAAAATAAAATTTAAAAAGATAAATTGCATAGGTAGATGTATAATTATAGATTGTGTTAAGTGCTTTGAAACAAAACTCATAGGTTATAGGAGACAGTATTTTTTAATCAGCTAGGACTGCTATAACAAAATACCACAAACTGGGTGGCTTAAACAACATACATTTATTTCTTACAGTTGTGGAGGCTGGGAAGTCCAAGATTAAGGTGCCAGCAGATTCCTGGTGAGGGCTCTCTCCCTGGGCTTGCAGACAGCCACCTTCTTGCTGGGTCCTCACATGGTGGAAAGAGAGTGATCTGTTCTCTTCTTCTTACAAAGCCACCCTTCTCTGTTTATAGTTTTATAACATTGGTAATCAGTGATGGTAGCCATCTGTCATTTATTGAACACCTATGTTCCCGAAACTTTACTATGAAATAGGTACTATTGTTGTCCCTCATTCCAGACGAGGAGTCTGGGGCTCACTTGCCTGTTTCTGGTAGATGGAGACTCTGTCTCATACCCTCTGACCCCACTGTCACTGTCTCTGAGCCAGCCATGCCTCAGGATCAGGCCTGGGCTGCAGGTGGAGGGCATTGGGGAGCTTTCTATTTCCCTTACTACTGGTCCCAGTGATGTGGAGGATGACAGCCTGGAGGGAGGTGTCTGGGGCAGCATCTGGCCAGGCGCCTGGTGGGGCGGTTTGCGCAACTGCCTGGAATGAGCTGCTTAGCCTCCCCACTTTCCTGAGAACCCAGGGCAAGGGGGGTGTCTGGGAGGGAGGAGGACAAAGAGACCCAGTCACCTGGGTCACCACCTGGAGTGGCAGTTGGGGAGGAAGTAGGACATGCTGGCTGCCTTCTCCAGCCCTGGTCTCTTTCCTTCCCATCCCCTGGGCCTGACTTCAGTGCCCACCTCTAGGAGGGAGAGTCAGAGAACCAGACTCACCTGCCTCTGAGCAACTGTGGAGGCGATAGCCAGGTCTTAACGGCCTCTCCGGGGTCAGCTGAGGCCTGCCATGGGCACCTCCCCTCACAGCTGGACTGCTGTTCAGAATGTTGCAGCTGCAAGACATTGGAGAAGCAAGGAGGCTGAGCAAGGAGCTGGTGCCAGGGGAGATCAGGGAGGAAGGGAATCAGGGCACCTTCTGGTCTCCCCAGTTCCTGAAAATCTATTGTCAGGCTCTTCTTCCCCAAACTGCGTTTAAGAGAAGCCAGCCCCCTACCACAGGCTGTGCACTGCTCTGAACAACTCCAGGAGGTACCATCACATAGGTAACCACTCGTGGTTTTGTGGTTCTCTGCTGCCACCCATGCCAGCCCTGCTTGGGTCCCATCCCCTCATCCCCTCACTCACAAACCTGGTTTACCCAGCCCGACACCCAAACCCATGCTTCACTGATTCATTCTTTCCTTTAATATGTGTTTGTTAAGTGCCAGAACCATCCACAGGGCTTTAAGTTCTAGAGACACAGTAGGGTCAAGGCAGTCACCTCAGCTTTTGCAGTCTGGTGGGAAGCTTGGAGAGAAGAATATTAAGCAGACACAATGAAAGCTGGCTTGAACAATTAACCCCCTTGGGAATTCACCAGCAGTCTCCGTTCTCTCAATAAAACCCACAGCCTGGAACTCAGGAGACAACGAATTTTCAGAGCCAGGGTTTCCCTCTGCAACCTGCCCCTGCACATCTGGTTTTATCTAAAGTCCTGGCATGTGCCTACTACCAGCTCCAACTGGGTCAGAACACAGGGCTTCTACCGGGCAAATACAAATATTTAACCACTTACACTTATGATGGGTCCTTGGCAGGAGAAGCATTGCAAGCGTGTAACATGGGAATTCGACCCCATTTTAGCAATCCAGGAGGGCTCCCCAGGAGAGGTGACTTTTAAGATGTGCTCGGAAGGATGCCTCAAAGTTGACCCAGACTTCCTGGGGGAGAGAAGAAGCCTTCCTGGCCCCTCAACAACACAGATTGCTCAGCCACAGTCAGACAACCCATGCCACCAGGGTGTCACCAAGATTTGACAACTGAGAGTCTCAGACACTCTCCCTCCCTGGCACACATACACACTCATACACACGATGGCAGCCATGGGACGGCCCCGCAGCCGGATGCCTTTGTTCCCCACTTCCAGCCTGATGGCCGCCCCAATAGTCAGTCCTTTGCTCCTTCACTCTGCTTCCCATCAGTCCCCTCCTTCTGGGAGTCACAACTCCCTGGGTTGTGACTCTGACTTCATATTCACTGGCCATGTGACCCTGGGCACATCACTCAAGCTCCCAGATACTGCTCCTCCACTGTCAATGAGGGTCATGATCCTCCCCGCCTCTCAGCACCACGGAGAAAGTTAAGGCTCCTAATTCCCAAAAAGCACCTTTGCAGCACTTGTCCCTTCACAGTGGCAGCTCTGCTTAGCACAGTTGCTGTCACAGTCATTCGCTGTGGCCTTGCTCTGGCCCCACCCCCATGCCCCTCCTTCTCTCAGCCTACTGTCCCTGCACTTCTGCCTGGGCCTCCTGTCTCTCTCCTCTCCCTGGTTGCGGAGTCTGAGACCCAGAATTCCTGAAGGGCTGGGGACAGGGAAGGGGCAGCCAGCTCCCAAACAGAAATGTCACCTGCTTGGAGTCCCCAGTGGAGGGTTGGGGTGGAAGCTTTCTGCTCAGCCTTGAAAACCCTGCCCTAACTCCCCACAGAGCCTGATACAGGCTCAAACCTGCATCAGGTCAAACCCTACCCCAGAGACAGAGCTGGGTAGGTCAGGCTGCTACCTGAACCTGTGTCGCCATCTACAAGCCAGCCAGGGAGGGGACTGGCCTCGCCCCCTCAGGGGGTGCAGATGCTCTGGGACCTAAGTCCACACTGAGGACAGCGGGAGGTGGAGAGCACCTCACGGAGTGGGGTTTGAATCCCGGGGCCTCCTCTACTCCTCTGGATCATCTTTGAGAAGTTGTCTCTCCTCGCCAAGCCTTGGCCTCCTCATTGGTAAGATAAGGCTGGACAATTCCTGCCTACCACCCACTCAGGGTTGTTGGGAGAAACAGAATTGAGAAGAGGGCGGAAGGGAATCCTGTCAAGCCTGGGAACCAACGCCTTTCCGTCGCCGGTTGAGCGTCTACCTTTTGACCAGCAGATGGCGCCATAGAAGCGCCAGTGTCTCAGCTCCAGGCCCGGGACGTTTGTTAAACGCGGCGAAACTGTTACCCAAGATCCCAAACTCTGGAGGGATGGATCTCAGATTCTACACCCTCAAACCGCGCGTGGTGGCTCATGCCTGTAATCCCAGCACTTTGGGAAGCCGAGGTGGGTGGATCACGAGGTCAGGAGTTCGAGACCAGCCTGGCCAACATGGTGAAACCCAGTCTCTACTAAAATTAAAAAAATTAGCCCAGCATGGTGGCGGGCACCTGTAATCTCAGCTACTCAGGAGACTGAGACGCGAGAATCACTTGAACCCGGGAAGCAGAGGTTGCAGTGAACCGAGATTGTGCCGTTGCACTCCAGCCTGGGCAACAATGCGAGACTCCATATCAAAAAAAAAAAAAAAAAAAAAAATTACACCTTTTTAATAGCAATGTGACTGGGTAAACTGCTTTAACCTCTCTGAACCTCAGTTTCCTCATCTGGCATCCCTTCTTCTGGGGTTGTTGGAGGATTGATTTGCTCCAAGATGCAGACTGCAGCGTCAGTGCTCAGTGACATGACTGGTACAACCCACTAAAGAGCGAGGCTGCAGCTCCATCTTCCATCCCTGCTAAGAGCCCCTGGCTTCAGCCACACCCCATGCCCACTCCAGCCAGGTCCCCAGGTTTCACTCACGCCCTCTGCCCTCTGACTGGAATGTTTTCTCCCTCCTTGTTTCACGATTTCCTAGGAACTTTGAGACTTCTTGGGTTTTTCCTAATTGTATTTTTAAAACTTCATCCAGGTATTATTTATAGATCATACAATTCACTCACTTTAAGGGTACAAGTCAACGATTTTCAGTAAGTTTATCAAGTTGTGCTCAAGATTTGATTTTCAAAATCCTGCATCTCAAATTCTACCTCTTTTCTGAGTCCCAGACCATGTGTTCAGCTGCCCCTTGGCTGTTGTCCCTTGGCTGTCCCCTGCCCCGCCAACTCGGTACATCCCCAGCCAGATCCATAACTGTCCTCCCTTCTTTTCTCCTCTCCCAGGTTTCCCATATCCCTTCTTGGCCAGCAATCCCATCCTTCTTCTCTACGATCTTAGCACTTTGTTCGAGACCTGGCACATAGTAGGTGCTCAACAAAGGTTTGCTAAGTGGGCTAGGCACATGGCTTACACCTGTAATCTCAACACTTTGGGAGGCTGAGGCAGGCAGATCACTTGAGGTCAGGTGTTCGAGACCAGCCTGGCCAACATGGTGAAACTCCATCTCTACTAAAAAATATAAAAATTGGCCGGGCGTGGTGGCTCACGCCTGTAATCCCAGCACTTTGGGAGGCCGAGGCGGGCAGATCACGAGGTCAAGAGATTGAGACCATTCTGGCCAAAAGGGTGAAACCCCATCTCTACTAAAAGTACAAAAATTAGCTGGGCATGGTGGCACTCACCTGTAGTCCCAGCTACTTGGGAGGCTGAGGCAAGAGAATTGCTTGAACCCAGGAGGTGGAGGTTGTAGTGAGCTGAGATCGCGCCACTGCACTCCAGCCTGGCGACAGAGCAAGAACTCCATCTCAAAGAAAAAAAAAATACAAAATTAGCTGGGCATGGTGGTGCGCGCCTGTCATCCCAGCTACTTGGGAGGCTGAAGCAGGAGAATCGCTTGAACCCAGGAGGTGGAGGTTGCAGTGAGCCGAGATGGAGCCACTGCTCTCCAGCCTGGGCGACAGAGCAAGACTCCGTCTCAAAAAAAAAAAAAAGTTTGCTGAGTCAATGAATAAAAGCAATGTGACCCTTTACCCACGTTTGATTGTTCACCCCTCACCTCCCACCACCCAGTCACCTGTTAGATCTTCCTTGGAACTGTCTGCCTGGTGTTCACCCTTCCCAGAGCCCTGCTGCCCTGGCCTCATACCCACGCCCTGCTTCACTGTCTCTCCTCTGTTGTTTTTTACTTCCTCTCTGCCCCATCCCAGAGTGACTTCTCAGAAAAGCACACGTGATCCCACCACCTTCTCCCTAAGAATGTGCTACCCACTCATCTGCAATGATGTCAACACCCCCAAATCTAACACCAGCAGCCGCCCGGGATTTGGTCCCAGCCCATCTCTTAGCCTCAGACTCAACCCTCTCCTTCCCCTCTCCAACTCTCTCAGGTTCTAATCATCCCAAACCACAAGATCCATGATTAAAAGGCAGGATAGGGTCAGGCTTCCTGGAGTCCACATCTCAGTGGCAGCGCCTCTCTGAGCCTCAGCTTCCTCGTCTGTAAAATGAGAGTGATAATACCACTGACCTTGTAGAGTTGTTGGGAGGATTAAACGAGGTGATGAAGGTAAAGCACTTAGAAAGGGCTTGGTACACGGTCCATACTCAATGTTAGTTTCATTTCACTGACAATTCCCAGCTGAATTTCTGCTCGCCAGGGATAGACTGTCTTTCTCCTTTCTGTCCACCAGGGGTGCTGCAACCTATTTCACCATGCCGGGGAGATTCGCCCCATCTGGGAGGCCTTCCCCAGGTCAGCTTTAGCCAGCCCTTCCTGGGTCACAGAGCTTACCCACTGGGACCTCTCTTGCCACCTCTCCCAGGGCCAATCCAACCCCACGTCTTGCCCCACTTACCTCCCAAGCAGCCCTCAAATTTCTCCCCTTCTCTCAATCCCCTGCTGTCTCCCTGGCACAGGCTGCCATCATGCTCATTATGCACCCACTCTCCCCTTCTCTCCACCCCACTGCTGCCTCCCTGGCACCAGCTGTCATTGTGCCCATGCCTCGCCCACTCTGCCCCTCCAGTGTCCCATCCAGAATGGACAGCTGTCCTCACTGTCCTTCCATGAAGCCTTCACTGGCTCCTAAGTATGGTCCACTAGAGCCTCAGCTGCATGACGCACCCCTTCCTTCTGCCAGCCAGGTTCCAGCCACACTGGCCTCACAAGCACCCTGCCCTCTCCCAGCTCAGGGCCTCGGCACAAGCTGTTTCTGCCTCCTGGACCCTCTTTCCTCACCCTATCAGTCCTTATTCAACTCCTTCAGATGCTGACCTCCCCGGAGATGCCGTCTCTGACCCTCCCACCACCAAGTACATCAAGGTCCCCCGTGATGTCTTCAGAGCACTCTGTACTTCCTCTCCTTAACTCTTATCACCGTTTATCATTATGTATTTGAGTGGCTATTTGAGGAATATCTGCCTCCCCACTTCCTTTAAAAGCTTCCGGAGAGCAAGGCTGTGGATGTCTTTCATTATGTCCCCAGAGGGCTGGCATATGCCAGAGGAATGAATGAATAAAAAGGGGCGATTCCCTTATGTGTCTTTCTCCCATGTCAGGTCCCCAAGGGCAAGGCCATGACCCAGGCCTGTATTCCCAGACTGATCCCCTACCCCACCTTGGCCTGGAACTTCAGTGAGAATCAACAAATGCTGTATGGATGAATGATAACACCCTTTTCCTGGTTTCCTTAAGGTTGATATTTTAACTACTCTTAAACTGTGATATGTTGTGATACAATTTATTTATTTATTTATTTATTTATTTATTTTTGAGACGGAGTCTCGCTCTGTTGCCCAGGCTGGAGTGCAGTGGTACAATCTTGGCTCGATGCAACCTCCGCTTCCCAGGTTGAAGCAATTCTCAGCCTCCAGAGTAGCTGGGACTACAGGCGCGTGCCACCACGCCCGGCTAATTCTTTATATTTTTAATAGAGACGGGGTTTCACCATGTTAGCCAGGATGGTCTCAATCTCCTGACCTTGTGGTCCGCCTGCCTTGGCCTCCCAAAGTGCTGGGATTACAGGCGTGAGCCACCACACCTGGCCGATAAAATATTATTAATAATAATATCTACATGGGCATTGGAGCTGGCTGTCACGACCCACTTATTCTCCCAGGAAAGCATATTCTTTAATCACGAATATCTCTGCAGCCCTCTGTAATTCACTTTCCCAGCCCTGATTGACCCTATGGGATTGGCAAGACAGTGTCACTATTTTCCTGCTTTTACAGAAGAGAAAAATAGAGATTTAGGAAAATTAAGGGGCATGCCCACAGGTGGCTGAGCTGGCCTTCTGTGTCCCAGCCCTGTGAGTTACCACTCCATACCTCCCAAAGCCTAGACTTTAAGCCACCCCACTGTACCCAGGGCCTAGCGCAGCCACTGGTGAGAAGGAGGAGGGCTAGTAATGGTTGTTGAATGAATAGATGAGTGAATGAATGCTGGAAAGTCTTTTCAGGAGAGGGCCTTAGCTTCAGGGGCCAGACCCCAGGATACTCTCTTCCCCTTGGAGAGACCACCCAAAGATGCTTTCTCTGGTCAGGGCTCTATCTTAGCTGGGAGCCCGTAAGGAGAGGAGAAAAAGGGTTCCAGGCAAAGGGAAAAAAGTCTCATACAGCAGCATCTCCTGAGTACAGCACTTAACAGTTTGCAAAGCCCTTGAATTCACTGCCTCTCCCTGGGATTTCAAAGGAGCTCTTCAAGAACCCAGGGCAGAACAAATAAACACACAAGGAAAAAAAAAAAAAAAAGGAAGGAAAGCTCTTTTTCTCTCTTTGCAAAGCCAGTATGTGTGTTCTTGGTAAACACTTGAGACCTATGCTGTCCAATGCAGTAACTACTAGCCACACGTGGCCACTTAAGTTTAAATTAATTAGAATTCAATACGATAAAAATTTCATTTTTCAGTCTCACTAGCCACATTTATTTATTTATTTTGTTTTGAGGTAGGGTCTTGCTGTGTTGCCCAGACTGGAGTGCAGTGGTACGATCATGGCTCACTGCAGCCTCAATGTCCTGGGCTCAGGCGATCCTTCCTCCTCAGCCTCCCAAGCAGCTGGGGCTACAGCCACACACCACCATACCCAGCTAATTTTTGTATTTTTTTTGTAGAGACAGGGTTTTGCTGTGTTGCCCTGGCTGGTCTCAAACTCCTGGGCTCAAGTGATCCGCCCACCTGGATCTCCCAAAGTGCTGGGATTACAGACATGAGCCACAGGGCCCGGCCAACTAGCCATATGTGAAGTACTTCCTGTGTGGTTAGTGGCTATAATAATATTGAACAAGGCAGATAGAAAATATTTCCATCATCACAGAAAGTTCTATTGGATAAAACCGATTTATGACATATAAATAAGCAAAAGGAAGGGAGGAAAAAACACCTGTCATTCCATTTCCCAAAGAAAACCACTGTGAACATTTTGGCATGGATATTTCCAGTTTTTTCTATGGGTGGGCAACATATATATATATTTTTTCAAAAATGGGTTAATACTCTACAGTCTGTTTTATGACCTGTTTTTTCACTTACCAAATTACTGTAAATATCTTTTCTATAACGTATTTTTATTTTTATTTTTTTTTTGAGACGGAGTCTCACTCTGTAGCCCAGGCTGGAGTGCAGTGGCCGGATCTCAGCTCACTGCAAGCTCCGCCTCCCGGGTTCACGCCATTCTCCGGCCTCAGCCTCCCAAGTAGCTGGGACTACAGGCACCCGCCACCTCGCCCGGCTAGTTTTTTGTATTTCTTAGTAGAGACGGGGTTTCACCGTGTTAGCCAGGATGGTCTCGATCTCCTGACCTCGTGATCCACCCGTCTCGGCCTCCCAAAGTGCTGGGATTACAGGCTTGAGCCACCGCGCCCGGCTATAACGTATTTTTAAACGAGGGTACAATGTTTGTATGACTACTATAATTTACTTACTCAGTTCTCTGCTTACAGGTATTTGTGTTGTCTTCCATCTTTTTAAACTATCAAGACAACTATTTTTTTTTATTTTAATTTAAACGTTTTGTGTGACAAGAGCTGTATTTTATTTTGATATCAATTCATTAGTTTTGTAAAAGTGGTAGATGCTCCTTATAGGAAAGTAAATAAAATACATGATGTGCAAAGAGGAAAAACTATTTCCCCAAATCCCTCTACCCCCAAATAACCATATTTTCTTTCAAAAAAAAATTTTTTTTTTTTGAGACGGAGTCTCATTCTGTCGCCCAGACTAGAGTGCAGTGGCATGATCTTGGCTCACTATAACCTCTGCCTCCTGGGTTCAAGCGATTCTCCTGCCTCAGTCATCCAACTAGCTGGGATTACAGGCACATGCCATCACACCCAGCTAATTTTTGTATTTTTAGTAGAGACGGGATTTCCCCACATTGGCCAGGCTGGTCTCGAACTCCTGACCTCAAGCGATCCACTGGCCTCAGCCTCCCAAAGTGCTGGGATTACAGGTCTTTCAATTTTTTATTGTAAGATCTTTCTTTCTCTCTCTCTCCTTTCCTCCCTCCCTCCCTCCTTCCCTCTCTCTCTCTCTCTCTTTTTCTCCCTTCCCTTCCCTTCTTCCTTTCTTTCTTGACAGGGTCTCACTCTGTCACCCAGGCTGGAGTGCAGTGGCACAATCAGGGCTCACTGCAGCCTTGACCTCCTGGGCTCAAGCAGTCCTCTCACCTCAGCCTCCAGAGCTACTGGGACCACAGGCATTTGCCACCACATCTGGCTAATTTTTTTTTAGAGGCTGGATCTCACTACATTGCTCAAGCCAGTCTCAAACTCTTGGCATCAAGTGGTTCTCCTGCCTCAGCCTCCCAAAGTGCTGAGACCACAGACGTGAGCCACCACACCTGACTAGATTTTTCTTTTCTTTTCCTTCCTTCCTTCCTTCCTTCCTTCCTTCCTTCCTTCCTTCCTTCCTTCCTTCCTTCCTTCTTTCTTGAAACAGGGCCTCACTCTGTCACCCAGGCTGGAGTGCAATGGTGAAGTCTTGGCTCACTGCAGCCTCAACCTTCCAGGCTCAAGCAATCCTCCCACCTCAGCCTCCTGAGTCTGGGACTACAGGTGCACACCACCATGCCTGGCGAATTTTTATATTTTTTTTGTAGAGATGGGGTTTCTCCATGTTGCCCAGGCTGGTGTCAAACTCCTGGCTCAAGCAATCCTGCCAAGGCCTGCCTTGGCCTTCCGAAGTGCTGGGATGACAGGTGTGAGCCACTGCGCCTGGCCCAGATTTTTTAAACATACAGAAAGGTTGAAAGAATAACACAGTGAACCCCCCTACACCCTCCACTAGCTCGATTCAACAATGGAAACCACCACATTTTAAACATGTTGGTGTCCTCTTCCTAAATAGCTTCCTGGGTCTGAACACATACAGGTATGTGTATACAAGAATGATATCACACTTTACATGTTGCTCTGAAATTTTTTTTTTTTCTTTGAGATGGAGTCTTGCTCTGTCGCCCAGGCTGGAGTACAGTGGTGTGATCTCGGCTCACTGCAACCTCTGCCTCCCAGGTTCCAGCGATTCTCCTGCCTCAGCCTTCTCGGTAGCTGGGATTACAGGCACATGCCACCACGCCTGGCTTATTTTTGTATTTTTAGTAGAGACGGGGTTTCACCATGTTGGCCAGGCTGGTCTTGAACTCCTGACCTCAGGTGATCAGCCCACCTCGGCCTCCCAAAGTGCTGGGATTACAGGCATGAGGTGCCACGCCTGGCCTGTTAGTTTTTTTAAAAATGTTCACTTAATAATATATTATAAACCTACTCTCAAGTTTCATGAAG